TCTTTTGGGTTGCATTCTGGTGTGTGTCTGTCTTTTGTGTACTTGGTAGTAGTGTTCTTTCTGTTGCTTGGCCCTTCAGACTATCTAATGTTAGGCTCTAATGTTTTGTAGCATTAGTTATTTTGTTTTGTGTCTGTATTATTGTATTTTGTCAAGTTTTTAAGTAACGTTTAATTGTTTATAACATTTTGTATGTTAATGATATTTTTGATACATCTGAAATAAGTTTATATTGTTTAAACTGTTTGTATTAATTGTATTGACTTAATACTTCATTATCATGTATGTCATATTGATACATTATATTGCTACAATGTATTTGTAACTATTGTTTTTTCGATTTTCGCATTATAATAGTAATTGTGTAAGGTATAAGATATGTATTTGTCTGTATAGTTTATAATGTTGATATTATACATATATGCATCATTATATTGTTTCATTGTTTGTAGTGTTATGTTTTAATTTAATGTAATACTTTGTATAAGTATATATGTTTGTTATTATATGTTTTGAATGTTTGCAACATTGTTTTGTATGTTTTATTAATTGTTTTTATTGTTATTATGTGTTTGTTCAATTGTATTTGCATATAACTTTGTATTATTTAATAATTAATAGTTTTATGCATTCGAATGTATTATTATTACTTTGTACGTTTGTATATTCGTATATCTATGCAATATATTCGTATATGGTAAATATATGTTATTTATTGTGACTGTGTGTTTGTGATAGTATAAATTGTTTTTATATTTGAGTTATTATGCTTTAGTTGCATTTATACTCTCGTTTTCATATTATTTGTTTGTCTAATCATTATTAGTTTGATTGTACATTCACAATAGTATTTCTTTATATTATTATTATGCTTTGCTAGCATTATTCTTTCGTTTATAGTATTAATCATTTGTATTATTAATATAATATTAAATGTTTGTTCGTTATGTGAGATGTTATTATTATAACGTATCTTTGTAGTGTAAGATGAAGTAATTCAGTGTTTGGATATAGTATTGCTGGGTATTCATTGCTTTTAAAGCAACTAATCTGTCCAAAGTTATTTTAATAAATCAATGTGTGTTTAGGATGCTCAGACAGGTGTGTCTAGGTCCTCATAGATAATACATTCCTTCTACAAGTATTGTAGCATGTCTTGTTGTATAAAGTGATTGTAGTCTTCAGGACAAGACAATTTGCATTTGGTATGCTCAGATGGGAGCACCAAAGGTTTGTAGACAAGTAGAATAGATTGTACATGTAGAATCAAGTGGATTCAGTGTTAAATAAAGTAGTTTGATGTTACTTATCAAGTATAATATGATTGAGTGTATCTAATCATTTGTACTATAGTGTATAGTACACCAAAGCGTTCAAGATGACAATTGTGGTGCATATAGTTATACATATAACTACTGAGGGGGAAATCATAATTGTAGAGATGATGATTTTGAAGTATTGTGTTTGTAGAGGGTAAGATAAAAGTGTAGTAACAATGTAGATATGAGTAGGGAGTGCAAGGCTCATAACCTGTTAGTGTGTTAAGGTCACAATGTTTCCTAAACAATAGGAAATATTCTTCTGTAAGTTTGCACACTGCTCACAAGGATACTAAGAGTTAGTCACACTAGTAGGGGTTCAGTAGACTCTGCTCATAGTGTATAGGTGTCAATACAAGTCAACTGTGTAGTTTGTAATAAGCTTTATTGTCCTTAGATTAAAGTAATATATATGCTATCTAATATTGTATGTCTTGGATGTATGTCTTGGAAGACATGTCTCAGTAATAGTGTATATTTACAAGACGTTTGTGTGATTTGAGACATATGATGCATTTATCTGAAATAAATGTTAACAGTATTATAATAGATACAGTCAGTCTTATTCACTCTTTGTACAAATCTTAACACAGACTATATAGAGTCTTATATTAGGAGGAGGTCCTCTCAGCTTTGTTCTCTTACAGAACTGTTAGTCAACCAGTACACTAAGTGTACTACTATTACTATGTATGTATTCTTAAATTATATTCCTTCTTAATTATTATAAATAATAATGAATTGTATAAAATACATTATTATTATTATTTTTTATTAATTTAATAATAACTAGGTATAAAGGAAAATAATTACTATTAAGAAATATACAGTTTTGTAAAGTTTGTAAAACATTATAAATATATATTATTCTTTAAAAATATTAACATTCTTATTATACCTTTTAAAAAAGAGAGGTCTGATATTATACTTTTATATACTTAAAAAGAGTGTTACTCTTATACACTTCTTCCTAATATAGTCCTGAACAATATTAGTTAAAGAATGTATAATAGTAAATAAGTTTTTTTAAAACATCCTTTAACTGTACTATAATAACTAGTATGATTTTGACAGAATATTAGTAGGACAGTATTAATATTAAGGGCTTTTGAACAAGTTTGTTAAATAGTAATTAGTAGTTTGTGTAAGATATACTTACTTTACTAGTTCTGAGTGTTAGGAATAGTAATAGAATAGAGTATAGAGGGTAAGACTTGTAGACTTGTAGAGTAAGAGGGTAGAGGAGTCCTACTTTAGTCAAGTTACAAGTATAGTCTAGTAGGTTAGTAATAGAGTACTTTTAAGTACTAGATAACTTAAGTTAATAAAACTACTTTTGAGAGCCAAACTGGTCTCCTTATATACCTTTTGTTAGAGTAATGTTACTCTAGTAACTTTAGTAACTCTCTTTACTATTGTTCCTATAAAGTAGAGCTAGCTAATCCTTTAGACTGTATACTATACTAGTTTGTGTCTTCTATTAATCTTCTGACACTAGTTTGTGTCTTCTTGTATTCTAGATTAATCTTCTAGTAACTCCTTTACTATATTATTATGTCTTCCATACTTCCTCTCAAGCTTCTAATGACTCATTATGAGTCCTCCTAACTAATTATACTTTCTAAACTGTGTAATACTTTTCCTATAAAGTAGAGCTTTCTATTGTTCTATAGTCTTTTTATAACTCTGTCTGACTCAACCTGTACTTCTTGTACACTAGTTTGTAATACACTTTCTTATAAGGTAGAGTATTATAACTTCTAATAACTCCTTATAACTTCTGTAATATAAAAGGCTGTACTTCTGTACTACCCCTAGAACTTACAACCAAAGTTCTAGACTGTTTTATGTACATTCTAGAACTGACAACTAGAGTTTTAGATCTTTCCCTAAGTCTTCTTTAATTAACTTAGTTTAGGAGACAATTATCCTTATTAACTTCTAGCCTTATTTTTGTACTTTGGTATTCAATCATAGAACTTACAACTAGAGTTCTAGATTGTCTCATGTATTCCTTATGTTGTTTTTATATAGTCCTTATGTTTATAACTTTATTACTTTCTCATTTGTATGAGTAAAGTATATATAAGAAACTACTTTCTTATAGTCTCTCTTTAGAGCTCTCAGTTCCTTTCCCTTACACTAATACTAGTCCTCCTCAAGTATAGAGCTTTAGAGTACTGGCTCTGACTCTTTACTAGCTCTAACAGTCCTTTATCTTTATACAAAGTGTTTCTAGCTAGCTATATAGTTTCTCTTATAAGTAAGTATAATATTTTTCTTTATCTCTTCAGGTTTTCTCCTAGTCTTTCTCTACTATTCTCCTTACTTTGAACATTATACTCTTTCCAGATCCTCTCTCTATACAAGCATACTAAATGACTTGTCTTTAGTTAAAGTTATTAAGTAATATAGTACTAGAGTATATATTTAACCTTAAAGAGATAAAGACCTTGTCTACAAGTTTTGTTACCTTTTCCTAACTGACTTAGTACTTACTCCTTCCTGTCCCCTCTCTCTACTAATAGATTGATCACTTATTAGTAATGATTAGAGGTTTATAATACTAAGCTAGAGTTCTTACTAAGTAGGACAATAAAGGTAGTCTAGGGATCTGGCCAATCTTTAGACTTGTAACTAATAGAGTTTTGTTCATAAACTACTTGGTTCCAAGTCTTGAGTTAGGCTTTCCAAATTTAGTTACTGTATTTTACAATTCCTAACAGTATGTTAGTTTTATTAAAGGTTATTTAACTTTCTAACTACTAGTTTACCTGTTTTACTCTTCTACTATAGTAACTAGTATAAATTTGACAAAATATTGCTAGAGCAGTTGATATAATAGCTCTGTGACTAAGATTGGTGGATAACTACTTGTAGTAAGTTAGTTGCTTTAAAGGTCATTTGGCCACCAAACCTGTTAGTCTCTACTAGTATAGTATATTATAGTATGTTGTACAATTTTGAAAAAAGGTTGACAATACAAAGGCCTCCTGAACAGAGTCAGCCAGGTTTCAATCAGCAGCGCGTTAATTGCTTTAAAGGCTGTTTGACTGCCAGACTCGTTGGTCTCTGCCATTATAACGTCTTGTCTAATTTAGACAGGAGGTGGTAGACTAAGTCAGTACTGAGGCTCCCAAAGAAGACCCAGTCAGGTTTCAATCAGCAGTAATGTCGATCAGTCTCCTTGGACACTGTTGGCTGATGCAACAGTACATCGAGCATGCTGCGAGGCAAGGATCAATCAATGACGAATAGGGAAAGGGAAACGTGTCATTGACTTTTGAGTTATTTTCGCCTGGCGTCTAAGAATAGCGACGGAAGCTTTAGTGAAGGTTTGGACAGAGCGGATGAACGTTGGAGGCTCGCTGACTGAGGTAAACGCGATTGTATGTAGCATGCTGTCATTTATGTGGACGCAAGATTGTCTGAAGCACCCCGGGCTGGCGGATGCATGATTGGAAGAAGAACAGGAGGATTACGTCGGAGAAGTGGGGTATATGTCATGTGTCTTCTGAGTGAGCGGTGAAAGAATTGATTGAAGAATCTGTGAATAGAGTCTGTAGTGCACTGAACGCATAATACCCCGGACCGCAAGGGGAGTTCTTGAGTGGAGAGCCATGCGGATGATCGCATGGGTACATTGTGGTGATATTCCCGACCAGACCCCATATGGCCACGTCAGCCTTCGCGTCTCTCGACAGCGTCGATATCCCAGAACGGACGGGGATCGCCAACGGCTATGTCTCGCGCAGTCCTCGCTCCGTAATGAGCGTCGACTAATTGGCGGAGAGAGCGAGATGCGGGAGAATTATTAAAGACGAGAGGGGGACAAGCGAGGCTGGCCGGATAAGGACATGTCATTTGAACTAGATTTTCAGGCACGCACGAGCGACGTGTCTGTAGTGGACTGCTATTTCGGGGCTTTGTATCTTCCCGCTCATTATTTCACCTCTTTCTTATTTGCCTTGCATAGACGCTCTTTTTCCCGTCGACATCTCTCTCCCCTACAACCATCACCTACACTCATTAATCACACACACACACACACTCACACACACTTTGTAGCCGCGGACAATTGGGCGAGACAAAAATAGGCCAAGAGGAAGGGTCCCAGAGCCCGATCCGGTAGACTGGCTTCCAACGACGCGTGGAACGCTCGCAAGGCCCGAATTCACCCAGCTCCTTTCTCGTCTCTTGCCTGAGTCTCTCCGTCCGTCAGCTCATCTCCTCTCTCTCTTCCACCTTCCATCACACACCCTAGGCTGCAATGCGCAGCGAGGACCCCTCCGCATACACCACTCCTAATGACCCTGCCACCTGGCTGCGCGACGACCACCGCATCATTCTCTATACGCTCGTCAGTCTTGCACTCGTCGTCGGTGGTCACCGCACCTGGCGCGAATACCATCGTTACAAGGAAAATGCGGCCCGGCGAGCGAAGATAGCCCGTCTTGTCGAGTCGACGCGCAAGGAGAAGGAAAGAGAGCGAAGAGTGGGACTTGGGCTTACTTTAGATGCGGTGGACAGGGACAATGTAAATGTCACGTCGCCGCCACCCGCAGTGGCAGTTACCCATGGCACTCCCGAAGCGCCTCCCGACCTTCCGCGTGCCAGCTCAAGCAAGTCCGTGGTCTCGTTAACGTCGGTACAGGACTCGAGGAGCAGCGGAGAAAGTGCCACCGCGACGAAGAGACCGAAAGACCGTCGGAAACGCGGAAGAGACGTGCACAAAGAGTTCCTCAAGCAGGAACGCAAGAAAGGCGCTACTATTCCCACTGTCGTTGCTGGCTCTTCAACCTCGTATGAACATTCTCGCGGAACAGCACTCCTTCAAGTTCAGACGACGACCTCAGGGTCTGACGCCGATGCTTCACGCTCGCGCTCGTCGTCGCGTGCACGCTCTCACTCAATATCCGACTATGACGACGGTTCCACCGAGGATACCCCGAGACCGCAGTCCAAGCACGCCGAGTCATCTACATCTTTGCGATTTACTCCGCCCCCGCCGGACACTGCGACACAACGTGCACATGACACCGACGGACGGAGTGAATGGCCGTCCGTCTCATGGTCGGCCCCATTACCACCTCTTGACGTAGCCGAAGCTACGCATGCATCAAATTCGAATTTGAATGTTATTGATGAAACGAATACAGGAGCACACATAGGAAGGGTCGATGATATTAATCCTACTACACAACGAAAGGCCCGTACGCCTACGCCGCCGCTCACCCATAGCGGTCCTTCGAGTACTACCTCTGGGTCCATCTCCTCGAGCTCCACTTCCGCAGGCGCGAGCTCACCTCCTTTGCACTCTCTTAATCTCGACCTCATCATTGAAGACGGTGAATCACAACCAGAGGCTGTGACGATTTCCCAGCCCATACCGTCCGTTCCCACCGTCAAGTCTCAGCCGCCTTGGCTCGGCTCCGATTCACGCATTCCATCTCGGCACAGACCAGATGACAGTCGGAACAAACAACACCCACAGAAAACGCTCTCATCTAGTTCTGCGGCGTCTTTTGCTACATCGGATGCGAGCGCGAGCGGAAGCCCGACTGTGCCCTGGGAGAACGAGAGCGGTTATGCAAGTGCGGCCGCGACGTTCTATGGTGCACGGCGCCGAGGGAGCAGGAGTCCCCCGCCTCCACCACGGTTTAGATCGTTATCCCGGACGGCAGGTTCACCGTATCATCAGAATTCTCACAACCTACCTGGGGTGAACCCGGGATTTCTGGTAACTGGAATGTCGCCGAGTCCCACGCCACCACCATCAGCACCTCCGCATGGAAATGGACAAGGTGTAACGTCTCCGGCGTACCGGAATACACTTGACCAGGCCAGAAGGAGAGAGGAAGCTCAGAGACGTGAAGCCGAGAGGTATCGGCACGAATGTGAAATGCTAAAGTTACGGTGGAGTGAAGATGTGGAGAGGGGACGCAGGAGAGAGGCTGAGGTGAGTTATTCTTGATCCTGTGGTGGTTTCGCTTTCTCTCGTTTGATATTTTTACCTCAACATTTTTACCCCGTTTGTCCCATTTTGCGCGTCGCATCTTTCAGATGGATACTGATATAACCTGTGTTCTATTTTGAACTACTTTTTCAGCTGCAAGCACAACTTCAGCAAATGACGAATCACATGCACGCGCTTTCTTTGACGATGTCACAAATGCAGATGTATTCTCATCCTTACATGACTCATCCGCATCCGAATTCGCATCCACACGCACAACATAATCAACAACAACAACAGCTCTCACAACAAACGCGTTCCGGCTTTGCGGTGCATCCCCACCTCCCTCACATGTCTACCATGCCTCCCATACCCTCCGTTCCCCCGGTACCTGGATCTGGACCGTACGGCTACCCACCATCACCGTTCAATAGTCCGGGTCCGGCAGCTCCCACGTCAATTCCGAGACCAGGACACGGGGCGTCACCACATTCATACCCTCTTGTAAATATTACAGCTCTTCCGCATATGGCACCTCGCTCTTGTTCAATGCCGAGTTCTGTGAACGGGTCTCCGGCGAGGGAATATGCGTTTGGCTTTGGTGGTGGGTTCGTTTCAGGGGTGGGAGATGCTGCGGGTGTACTTAGTGAGGGGGACCAAAGCAGAGAAGAAGGTTCGAAAGGTCAAGAGGAGAGAAACGAAGAGGAAGTAGGAGAGGATATTAACGAGGAGCTCGCAGAAGCTATTTTGAAGAGACCGGGGACTATACGATCTGCTTCTGCTGGGTCGGCTGGGTCTCGGAGGTCGGGGTCAGGCTCGGCCGGGACGTCGCCGACTTCGTTTGGTGGACTTGGACTTGGGGTCGCCGCCCCAGGAGCTCTTGGAGGGGGTATGAGGACTACAAGTGTTGTGGGTCGAGCGACGCGTGATGGGTTTACGTTTGCCAGTCTGTCTGAATTGGGGAACCCGCAGCCTAGGTCGTTCAGGGATGAGAGAGACGAGGAGGAGTGGTTGGTATTCGACTCAGATCGACGGGATGAAGGGAACGTCGACTCAGAGGGGGAACGGGAATGGGAGGGAGGAGAGGGCGACGCGAGAGATGACGGGGAACACCTGCAAGACGATACATCGTTTGGGCATGAGCGACCTCTATGTGAAGATGTTCATACGAGTGCAAGCGAAGCAACCGGGAATGTAGACGAGGGCTCCGAGAAGGATAAGTATTGAGAGCGATGATATTGTTGAGCGGGTGGAAGTTGAAGAGGTGAAAGGAAAGAAAACAAGACGAGACTCAAAATGAAACACGCTATATCACCATGATTGATCATTAAATTCATTTGTTGAATGATATCCTAATATCCCAATATCCCAATCGCATACTGCATTATCGAATATGAATGCCTGCAATGTTCTTTATTTGCTTTGTTTTCTCGTGCCTCGGTCTTATCAGACGTCTATAGTAGACTTTTGTAGTTCCAGACTAGTGGTGTTTAGGTTTCAGGATGACAGAACTTTGAAATTTACTCAGTCTGTATATCAAATATGAATACTTACAACGTTCTTTGCCTTGTCCTTTGTACCTCAGTCTTATCAGCTGGTTTGAGCATACTCGACCTTGGAATTTAATCTGTATATCAAGTATGAATATATGCTATGTTCTTTGAATTCACGGTTCTAGTGGTTTTAAGGATACCAATTCTTACCGATCTGTCGTGTATTAGTGTTGGTACTCATGATGGTTTTCTGATTTACTAAGTCTGTGTGATGCTGGGCGGCATTTTAGAACCTTTGTTCAAACATTCGTCCTCCGAGGGCGATCGACATGATCGGCACGGCGCAGTCGTGTTCCGGAGCATAGCCACACGGACTAGTAATTTATATAATATATTGCTTGCGTCATTTCCCACATGGTCAATCACCAGTTTGAGCCCGTGTCGTTCGGGAATATGCGACTGGGTTCTCTTGTTTTCGCGAGAGATGCTCGTGGGTGTAAAATAAAGAGATGCTGTGGTACCCTCGCAACGCCATCACTCTGTGGTGGTTGCTTGCGTGCGCCTTTGTGAAATTTGATCCTCCATTTACGTCGAGGCGACCAACGGCGTCGCACGGCACAGCTCCACTCCACTGTTCGTCATTGTTTGTTGCGAAGGGGGGCAGCCGCAGTCTCGCACTAGAATCATAGGTAGGATTATATCATCTTAGCACGGTCTGTCGCACGCGGGGACCACGCCCCCACACTCCCTTCTCCAACCGCTTTAATTTTTCATTTTTTTTTTCATTTGACTTAAACAAAGGAGCCGGGGCTACCCTATTTTTGTTCGTCCTGATTCATCCCGTCCCTACTTTTTCGGAATTCGACAAATCTTCTCTCTCTACTCTCACCTCCTTGGACTTTGACCTCCATCTCCACCACCTAATGATGCTTGACCATCGTACCCGTATGACGAAGTCCGCCTTCACTACTGCGGCGCTGGCCGCCGTGAATGCAGTGGGCGTGAACGCTGCGCAGTCGTTCAAGCTCTCCCAGAATCATTCGGGGGCTAACTTGTGAGTCGCCTGTGTCGTTTTTGACGTCTTCACCAAGTGGCTGACAACGTTATCGGTGTTTTGAAATCGTCTGGAACATAACCTAGCTTAGACAATTGGACGTTCTACAATGGGATCGACGCAAACACCACCGGGAACGTCCTCTTCCAAACGAAAGAGCAAGCTCAACAAGAAAATGTACGCAATGAATCCCATCTCTCGCATCGTCCACAACACCACTCTAATTTCTAATCCATAATCAATCATCACCCCATCTCATCGCAATGGACAGCTCACATTCCTCAACAACGCGGGCAACTTCGTCATCAAAGTCGACAACACAACCGACGGGTCAAACGACCCAACCTTCGGTCGACCCAGTGTAAAGCTTCTATCCTCATACACAATCAACTCGGGGAACCTCGTCCTGTTCGACGCAGTACACATGCCATTCGGGGTGCGTCTGGCTTTCGGCCTCTTCATTTCTATTTTTAGAACAATCCGCAGCAGAGTGTGTGCTGACTATAGAACGCGTGTTTGTGGTGCTTTTTATATGTTTCAATTTAAATTCGATCGATCAATGATGCTGTATGCTATTATTGGCGACTATCGGCGAGCAGTGTTCAGGTGCGCAGTTGGTTTTCTTGAAATGGAGGGGACATGAGGCGTTCTGACATCATCGAATGACTTTTTTTCTTTTGGTTTTGCAATGCAGTCTGGCCTGCGTTCTGGAGTCAGGGACAAATATGGCCGAATGACGGCGAAATCGACCTTATTGAAGGTGTACGTTACCTGTTTCTCGTCTTCACAAAAGCTTCCGGACCATAATGAGTGAATTGAGTACTAATTACATTTTAATCACAGGTAAACATGAGGACCCAAAACCAAATCTCACTGCACACACTCGACGGATGCACGCACCCAGACAACACATCCTCTTCCTCAATCGAGACAGGCCAACTCATCTCAACCGACTGCTTCAACCAAACAAACGGGAACCAAGGGTGTATCGTCCAAGTACCCGGCAACTCTTACGGCCAGACATTTTCCCAAACCGGCGGAGGTGTATACGCACTGAACTGGAACACCTCAGGACTCTACATGTGGTTCTTCCCTCGTTCAAGCATCCCCTCCGACCTACCCACAGACAACCCCAACCCAGATGGCTGGGGTCTACCCTCTGCAGCGTACCCCACATCCTCATGCGACTCAAGCAAGTTCCTCCAAGCCCAGACGTTGATCCTCGATATCACGATTTGCGGGAACTTTGCTGGTGCTGCTGACGTCTTCACGTCTACGGGATGTTCGGGTGTATGCACGGACTTGGTGAAGACGCCGAGTAATTATGATAATGCGTTTTTCGAGATTTCGTATATTCGGGTGTTTAGTCAGAATGGAAGTGGGAGTAGTGGGAGTGGAAGTGGAAGTGGAGCGGTAGGTATGCGTTGGTGGTTGAGGGAGACGTACTTCCTTCCGATGCTTGTAGCGATTTTCGCTGTGGGCTTGTCTTTCGTTGCTCTATAGATTTCCGTTGTGCATAGGCTTTCTGCAGACTTTGGACTCTTATCACGTTGGAACGCTGCTATTCACATGCTTTCATTCCCATTTGCTCCTTTTACTTACTCCTTCATAGTTCTCCCGCACGTCGTTCTGCTCTTCCTTTATCAGCTCACGTTGGATTATACCAATCATTGGCTTTCGCAAACAATATTAATGCTCTGCGCCACTCGAGTACCGGACTTTGCAGTACAATCATATGACAATGTTGAGAGTGTCGAAAATCCTAATTTATGAATTTACGACGACTACTTTGTGCATTGTAGTCCTGGGCCCTGGCGTGTTTTGAGTCAGCGATAAAAAAATTATATTCGTTAGATAATGGATCTAAAACACATCTTGGGGACGGAGAAAAGTCACAAACCGCATGGTAATTAATTCGTTCGAGACACTCTCACCAAACTGGGCAATGCAGATCTACCAAATAAAGAATTTATACAAAAAGAGATTGTCATTATTCATTCAGAACTGCAGGCGGGATTACTAGATTCTAACTGCGATCTGACTCTGCGATGATGACGATTGTCTTATACTCTTATACAATGTCTCCCTCTCTTGCAACTCGGCTCACACGATCTCTCCTTCTCTCCCTTTCTTCTACTAGTACGTCGCATTATCTATCGCAGTCTGCTTGAACCGATTACTGGAGCATAAACATCTCTCTCTTTCTCCATGGCTTTTGATACTCCAAAGCGTATCGAAGTCAAATATGACGAATCGGAGGTACAGGGCGTGCTTGCGTTGCTCAAAGCATCCCCATTCCCTGATAAAGCACCAATCGATACGGACACGCCATGGAAGCTCGGAATTGATTATGATTATCTGAAAATGCTGAAGGAGAGGTTCGAGACCGAATGGAGTTGGAAAACGCTCGAAAAGAAGATCGCAAAGTTCGAAAACTATACGGTTCATTATGAGTATAAGGGAGACGTTTTGGACTTGCATTACGTTCATGTAAAGAGTCAGCGGAGTAATGCTATTCCTCTTATTCTTCTTCATGGCTGGCCAGGTATGTCTCCATAAGCAAGCCCATTTCGACATAATAGTAACTGACTAACTGCTATACCTAAGGCTCTTTCTTCGATTTTCATAAAGTGATTGAGCCATTGACCAACCCGCCTGGTCCTGACTTGCCTGCGTGAGTTCTCGATTATCAGCACACATATTTGACTCTCAATAATACTAATACTCTTTGATGCTAATATTTAAGGTTTGATGTTGTTGTTCCCTCACTACCTGGATATTTCCTGTCTACTTTACCCAGACGTGATGGCTGGAACCTAGTGGATATCGCTCGTTTATTTGACGGACTCATGACGTCTGTCCTTGGATACAGGAAATACACTGGCCAAGGTGGAGATTGGGTCAGTTATATGCGTTATTACGAGCATCGCGCAAGCTTAACTGAATATGGCCACTTTTTATGTAGGGTTCTTTCATTATACGTATTATGGCCAATATGTTCCCCGATTCATGTTCACTTGTGCACTTCAACATGTTCTACGTTGAATCTTCATCTTCATCTGACATATCACGACTTTCCGAGTCAGAGAAGAAGTACGCCGAGCGCTGGAACGAGAAACGTGCCACCACTTTCGGTTATTTGTCACTCCAAACGACTAAGGTTTGCTTCTCTCTAAAGGTGTTGGAAACTTCATGCTAATAGTTATTGTCAAATTGGAATTTGTTCTGCAGCCATTTACGATTGGATCGGCAATAGCTTCGTCTCCACTTGCTATCCTAGCGTATATCGGCGAAAAGATTTACGGATGGTCAGATCCAGACCTCATAGATCCGCAAGATTTGCTTGACACTGTCGCCCTCTATTACCTGAGTGGCTGCTTCCCAACTTCCGTCATAATGTACAACCAGGTCCGTCTTACTTATGTAGACCCCATGAAAAACAACTAATTGACGTACTGTCTGATCCTCAATAGAGTGGCACGCTGCTACGCAAAATGTTCTTACCGGCCACAGAGGGTCACTTCTTGATAAAGAATAAGTTCGGATACTCAGTTTTCGTCAGTCTTTCTTCCTTTCAGAGTCCGTCTCACAATTAGAGCTGAAGATCTAACCATTCTAGCCGTATGAGTCTGCGCGCGCAGCGAAGGTAGACGTTGAGACGTTTGGACCACTCGCTTATATCAAAGGTTAGTATTCAGAATCAGATCACTTGCGAGAGTTTTGAAAAGTCAAAATACTCACTGCTTCAATTTCGTGGACTCGCAGAACATGAGAGCGGCGGGCATTTCCCCGCTCTTGATAGTCCGGAGGCATTGGTAAATGACCTACGCGAGTTTTTCGGAGAACATTGGAGCCGTGTTTGAGATTGTGAAAAGTAGTAATTAAAATGGAGTATCGACCGGGCAGTTATCAATAGGGCTTGGTCCCGTACTGTATTATACGGATACAGCATTTTCGTATACAGTGCCGTACCGTATCCGTATAAAAAATTTGACTCAAAAATACGGCACGTATTTTACGGGCCGTAACCGTATATAGTCTGTATAATACGGACTGTATACGCCTGTATACGATATACGGCTACTAAATGAAAGAAACTCTTGCTCTAAGCATAATACTGAAGCTCTAATAAGTAGTATTCAATGTTCAGACACTTATACTAGCATTTACTAATATATTCAGCACTATTATTGTAAAAGTATGTGCAATCTGATATATATTCCGATATATAGGTACATCACATGACTCGACTTTATGACAAATATCACAGACTAAATTACATAACAAAATGTCAATAAGTCAAATTTTATACATTTCATGTAGATTACAGCGTTTCCGGAAAACTATGAGAGTCGCGTTGTTTTTTTTTCCACCTTGCCACCTGCCAAATGAGGCAGGTGACTTCAACCACCTTTTTGTTTAGACACATACAAAACCTCTGTACTGTTTTTCCACTTAATATACACCTTTTTATACATTAAAACATATGTTGAACCTTTTCAATTACAATTC